GCAAGTATTCTCCAGCTATCAGGCACACTGGTTCCTATACAAGAGGGAATGTACATAACGGCAAAAGAGGGGACTCTAAGCCATAACTGCCGCACATGCGAACATATTGCTTTGGAGTCTGGGATTTGTCACGTAGTCCCTAAATACTTGGCCATGGCATTGCCCATGGCTCCATGATGCCAGTAGTTTCACCTCACCAGATGTTTTCAAGCCACAAACATCCCCCCAGGGCAGGCATAAACATTGCAATTTAGAAAGTAGAACAAAATATCCACGCAAACGTTACCAGGCAAACCTCTGGGAGAAAATAATCGTTCTCCTGAAGCATTGTGCACAGACATCTCGGCAGGAGTTCCGCTTGGTGTCAAAAGCAACACATTATTGTTTGTTTTTTTCATTTGTCATCACTAAGGCTCAACAAGAGCAATCATCGTAGTAGTAATAGTAACAGTAGTAATCATCTCTACACATAAAAAAGTGAAAATATGTATGTGTGTATGTGGCTGGGGATGTCCACTTACACAGACAGGCTCCTGCCTCCACAAACAGCTATATCTCCCGCTACTTAGGAGACACCAATGGCCCTCCCTCCAATGACACTGCAGGTTATAGTGAGCACCATGAACATGTCCAATATCCTCCACAAACACCACACTGCCCACCACCCAACTAAAGGCTTTCATACAGGGACCATTTCCTCCAACATTTTTCATGTTTCCTCCACCACAGACATCCCAGTGTTTCTTAATCTCTCCATTGGTGTGGAATTTGCATGACTCCGCCCACTGCCTCTCCCATAACCCCTTCCGATTCTTTTCTATGGGACACAGCAAACAGAGGAATTGATCAGCAGCTGAACATACTAGAGAGGTTTGGGGAGAATTCACCATGATTTATAGAAATTGTAGTTATTGGGATGTATAGTTCACCTGCAATCTAAGAACTGCTTAGACTTAGCTGCAGAAATCTTTCTCCTTTCTGTTTTAGAAACTATGCATAAACTTTGTAAAGCTCCACCAATGATAGACATGGAACTAACTTGGCACACAGAACTCCCATGAACAACAAAACATACTAGAGGTCTTTGGGGGGATTTATAGGAGTTGTAGTTCACCTACATCCAGAGTGCACTACGAACCCAAACAACGATGGATCTGGGCCAAACTTGGCATGCATACCCAATATGCTCAAATTTGAAAACTGGTGGGTTTTGAGGGGAATTGGCCTGGACATTTTGGGAGTTGTGGGTACTGGGATTTATAGTTCACCTGCAATCAATGAGTACTCTGAACTCCACCAAAGATGGAATTGGAACAAACTTGGCACACAGAGCCCCCATGACCAGCAAAAAAAATACTGGAGGTCTTTGGGGGAAAATTCACCTTCATCTGGGAGAATTGTAGTTCACCTATATCCAGAGAGCACTGTGAACCCAAACACCAATAGATCTGGACAAAACTTGGCACACATACCTGATATGCTGAATTTTGATTACTGGAGGAGTTTGGGGGGAACTGACCTTCCTTTCTGGGAGTTGTAGTTCACCCACAACCAAAGAAACGGTGACCTCCATCAATGATGGACTTGGACCAAACTTGGCACACAGAACCCCCATGACTAACTCAACCTACTGGAGGGATTGGAGGGGACTGGCTCACCACACTGGGGGTTGTAGTTTACCCTACAGCCAGAGAGCACACTGAGACCCACTGATGATGCATCCAGAGCAAACCTGCCCAACATTACAAACTTTAAGTCATGATGGAGTTTTTTGGGGTTAACCTGGCATGATGTGAGTAGTAGTTCACCCACAACCTTATGCATTTTATACAATTTAAAATTGACTTTTTCAACTAACCTGGGCAACACTGTGTACCCAAGCTAGTAATAAAATATTTTGGGGGCAAAACAATGCACCCACTAGGATGATCAGATCAAACCACTTCTGAACAAACTTTGCCATGAAAACCCCTTAAATGTATTCCCCTTGAAGTCTTCAGGAGCCAAAACTCCGGTTTTGTAGAGCTTTTGCAAACCTCATCTGATCCAGTTAGATGCTTTTTCCAGTAAGAGTGGAGACAATGTCTTCTCCTCTTCCTTTGCTATTGGCACAATCGGGACTCGCTATTTCCAGAAAATGCACCCCATTCCTATTTTTTGATATTCCATTTTTCAAAGGCGCAAGTGGAAATCGCATGGCGATTGCAATTGTAGATATTTTAGCCTCAAGGACAACAAAGGAAGGTATTTTGGAGACAGAAAGTAGTGCACAAACAGTACATTTAGCTAAGAATCCAGGTTAAATCCAATGTAAATGAAAACCATAAGTCCAAAATGACTTAAAGGTACACCCCGACGCATGCAAATAAGCCACGATTTCAAAGCAATCCATGTCTGTCTTGTTTGGATACTCTTAGCCATGATCCTCAACTTGGACAAAAGCTCAGAATTATTTCTTTTGAGCTCATTGACTCACTGGCACAAAACGGGAAGAGAATAGTTAGCACAAACTTATTAAACCAGGGGCTTTCGGATAAACATGGTGCCTGAATTAAACCAGCTTGGCCTCTGCAGAAACAAAGCCACTGTCAAGTGCTCAGAACACAAAAGGTCTATTTAGAAACATTCTCAGAAGCATACTAAAAGAATACCATCTTGATGAAAAGTCCAAGAACCTCAGCCCAAAGTCATAAAGACATGGAAAACATAGCACATCAGGACGAAAGCTTTTATCCGAACTGATCCCCTATCACTGTAGTTACCGATTCATAGAAATATTTGTTGGTAGAGTTGGATTGAAAAATGCCTTCTAGCTGTTCAAAGGTGAAAAAGATACAACCCCATTCTACCATGTCAGAATTCGACCCCTGCAATGCATTACATTACAATCGCATTTTGCAGCTCGCATCAGCAAGCCCTGAATAAAACCACTGAATAACATTGTGATTGACAAACAACACTCCGAACCATGGGGGGGGGGGGGGGGGGGGGAAATGGAAGCCTCCTTCCTGGAGTAATTCCAAGACATACCAGAACAGTATGTTTCCTTGGTCTTTTTTATAAACACTTGTAGGGTGACAGTGCAATAACACATCAATGAAATACTAGTATTGCATAGGATCACCTCAGCAGTCCATGCTCCAACTTCAAAACTTCCCATTGGAGTTCCAAGAAATCACTACAAACCACGTCAAGAAAGCATGGAATGAGTAGAGACAGAGGTGCTACATCATAATAACACTGCAATAATTCACACCTTTCTAGACCAGTCAGGAAAAGTATGAGGTTTGCATCGCTCAGGAACTTTCCTATGTTCCAGCACCAACATTTATTTACCACATATATCCCACCCTTCTCAACCCTGAAGGGGACTCAGGGTGGCCTTACAAAGGCAACATACAGAAATACATTGGTAAATAAACAGAAGCATTAAAACCAAGTCAATTAAAACATAATATTAAAACATCAATTAAAATCACATAATCCAGATCATATTCCATCGGCTTCATGTAGTCATCATTATAATCATCATAACAATAGTAATGACTTTATTTTTTATACCTGGTCTCCATCTCCCCAAAGGGACCTGGGGCAGCTTACATGGGGACAAGCCCAGATAACAGAGTTAAAACAAAGCACATCGCAGAGCATCAACAGCAATTTAAAACAACATAAACAACATTAAAAAATATATAAACAGGTGTCAAAACCAACAGCAATAACATGGTCCAGTTTCGACATGGGTGGGTGGCCTGGTATCCAACAGATCAGAGGATAGGGCAATGAATAACGTGCATAGGGCATGTAGCTGTGTTAAGGATAAGAGCAATAAAAAAGATCAAACTCAAATTTTAGATAAAACGGTAGTAAAGTGCATAGTCAAATTTTGGGGTCCTACCTAAGGACAATTGTCACAGGAAAAGTTTAATCAAATGCATTATAGCCTCTTATTGCACTGCTCCCATTATTGACCGACGGCCTGATCCCAAAGCCATGTTTTTAGTTTTTTTTCCTGAAGGCCAGGAGGGAGGGAACCAATCTAGTTTCACTGGGGAGGAAGTTCCATAGATGAGAGGCCACCACTGAGAAGGCCGTATCTCTCGTCCCCACCAGTTGCAAGTGGGGTTGGACCAAGAGCAGGGCCTCCCCCAATAATCTTAGCCTCCGAGGTGGATCATAAAGGGAGATATGTTTGGAAAGGTAAACTTGGCCAGAACTGTTTAGGGCTTTATAAGCAAAAGCTAGCACTTTGAATTGTGCTCGGTAGCAGACTGGCAGCCAGTGGAGCTGACATAACAGAAGTTGTGTGCTCCCTATATGCCGCTCTAGTGAGCAATCTGGCTGCTGCCTGTTGGACAACTTGAAGCTTCCCAACAGTCTTCAAAGGCACGTAGCGCACATTGCAGTAGTATATTCGAGATGTAACAAGAGAATGGACCACCATGGCCAAGTCCGACTTCCCAAGGTACAGACACAACTGGCGCACAACTGGGTTTTAATTGTGCAAATGCTCCCTTGGCCACCACCAAAACCCAGAGCTCCAAGCTCAGTGATGAGTCCAGGAGAACTCCCAAGCTGCAAAACTGAGTCTTGGGGGGGGGGGGGGTAAACCTATCCAGCACAGGCTGTAACCCTATAACCTGTTTGGCCTTGCAACGGACCTCTGTCTTGTCTGGATTCAGTTTCAATTTGTTCACCCTCATCCAGACCATCACAGCTGCCAATCACTGGTTCGGGACCTGGACAGCCTCCTCAGGATCAGGTGGAAAGGAGTGAGAGAGCTGAACATTATCTGTGTACAGATGGCATCGAACTCCAAAACTCTGGACGATCTCTCCCAGCAGCTTGGAAGCTATTCCCTCTCCCATCCCTGAAGTCTGATCTGGTAAGACCCACACCATGGGATCCTATTGCTCCAGTGGTTCAGTGTAAACTCCTTCCAGAAGCCAATCCTCAACACTAGTGGGAATTAAACAGGGAGAGAAGTCAACGCAACTTACTTTTTCACTTTGGGATACTTCATCTCTGCTATAGCATTGGTGGCATCCGTCTGTTTCTCCTTCAGATGGGGAGGCCACATGTTGTCCACCCAATCGACTAAGTCCACCTGAAAGACCATCCAAAGCCAGTGGTTAGTTAGGAAAGGTTGGAACAAAAAGGGACTGTCAGAAACAGAGAAAGATCTCAGGAAGGTGGCTTTGTCTCCTACTCTGCAGGGAAAAGATAGTTATCTTTCAAGGCATGATCTTTTTGAAGGTCTCCAGGTCAACACTTATTCTAGGGCAATGAGCCACACACGCTAGCTAAGATATATTTCCCATATAGTGTCCTATGACTAATGCTCATCAGCTTTATTATGGTTCCTAAGGACTGGCAGAAAAAGCATTCTGAAGATAAGATAGTACAAGGCCCACAATCGGCTGCTTCCTTACTCCAGAGTAACTCCATAGAAACACAAAGGCAAAGACAGATCTACAACTTAGGACCACCAGTCAGTGATAGAGGTAGTGTTGGAAATAGCAACCTTCTTCAAGTCTCCCTTACTAGTTATTTGTTATGTATATAATTCAGATTGTTTACTATATTGTATGTATATTTTGATATGCAGTTTTCCCTTAACTCTATCTTGTTTCAGGTAGTGGGAGGGATTACAGATCATGTGATCAGATCTGGGGCTATTCAGACTGAGGCTCTATTTTAGAAGTCAGTTTTCATCAGAAGCAGGACAATACAGTTAAGAAGTCAGTAGTGTCAGTATGCTGCAGTGTGTAGTCAGTCTGTATTGAGTCAATGTTCAGTAATGTATTAGACTGACGAGAGTGTTAGTCTACATGCAACAAAGAAGAGACTGAAACAGAATGCTTTAGAGAACTTACTGTTTAAACTCTCAACCAATAAGAAATGTACCTGTATGCTGAATATATGTAAGTAAATCAAGTAAGTAAATCAACTATGTTACTTCTAATGAAGACTACCTCTTTTTGGTCTCTTGAGAGCATGATTTAAAAGCAATATATTTTAGGGGAGAGTAGATGTTTTTGGATAATTGAAATAATACTTCTGAAGATCTGCTATATATTTTGTTCATTAGCACATCTTTGTTCCTAACAGTTTAGAGAGATAACCAGGTATATCAATCTAACAACTGAGAAACCTAATTTGCCTTCCATGAATACTAGTGGATATTTACCACTAAGGAGAAGATTCACTCAAGCGAATATTTAACTCTTCTCAGGAAGCTCATACTTTACAAAAGGATTATGATTATTCCAAATAGTGTGAATGGCAACTGATCTCCAAAAGGGTCACGTTTCCAAAAGGCTATGGAGATTTCTGGTTTCCCAAAAGGTTATGATTTCTAAAAGGTAGTGGTCTTTCCAAAAGGTAATTGTCATCCAATCAAATTAATTTTAATACATGAATTAATCAATTGAATATGCATATACATGTGGAGCATCCCTTATCTGAAGTGGTAAGGACAAGAAGTTCCGTATTTTGGAATGCTTGCATATACATCATAAGATATCTTGGATATGGGATCCAAGTCAAAACATAAAATTCATTAATGTTTCTTAGATATTTATAGCCTAAACCTCATTTTATACGCAGTATTTTTAATAGTTTTGTGCATGGAACAAAGTATGTGTACACTGAGACATCGGAAAACAAGGGTGGCAGTATCTCAGCCACCCACTGTCAACAATTCTAGAGTATTTTGGAACAACTAACCATGAGCCGAGTCCAAATGCCGATCCTTTTACAAATGCAAAAACCACCCGCAATGAAGATGCTACTCACCACATTGGGACGCTTGACAATGTTGGCCAACTTGGTGTGACTGAACTCCAGGCTGATGACGTTATAGAGCTTCTTGCGCTCGGCCTCGGGGGTCTCGTAGTAGCGCACAAACTGAGACATGCTCATCTCGGTGCCTTTTTGTGTATTGACGTCCATCACGTCCACGATCCGACGGCTCCCTGGAAGATTGTACATACAATGCCATCAGACAATTAAAATATATGCAATGTGAGGAAATTAAAGAAGTACTGGATGCATCTGCACAGTAGAATGAGTGCCGGTTGACAGTAGTTGAACTGCCATGGATCGAGACGTTAGGATCCTGGGAGTTTTACACAGTCTTTTGCCTTCTCTGCCCAACATTGCCGGTGCATTTGCAAATTACAATTGCCTTAATCCCACAGCACTGAGCCAGAGCAATCCCGGAACAAGTGGAGAATATCACCTGGACAAGTTTCTGATGTGCAGCAAGAAAGGAAAAACAGTCACAAAATTAGAAGGAAGAATGAGTTCTGTGCCCACCAGGGGGCATTCAAGAACACTGGGAAACAAGAGCACAGTTTTTGTAGCTATACAACTGCATGGCATGGCTAAAGGGTCTTTGGAGAGGGCAGGGTCTGAATTTGAGGGTCTGTAACACCTCAGACTCAGAAGGTTTTGTGTTGCACAGAAAGTGATCAAGAACAAAAAGCAAGGGTGGAAAACTAGCTTCACTTTCCATCTTGATGTGCTAGGTTTCTAGATCCAGGAATTCCGACTGGTTTGAAATGCAAAAATGATGATCTCAAAATCAAAGGGTAGCATTAATTAAATCATCATGAGGTTTCACTCCCCCATTGAGCCACCAGGCTCTAGACCAGCCTCTGTGTCAAGGCTCAATAGAATCAGGAGAGTTGTAGTTTTACAGTCTTGAGCCTTCTCAGCCAAAGAGGACTGATTCCTCACCAAAGTACGACTTCCAGGCACACATCGCACTGAGCCAGGGCAGTTCAAGTGATGCCAGGCTGCATTCATTCTACAGTGTATAAGCAACCCCACATTTGAATGTTTAGAAAACTCACAGGCTGGCCCAGCTTTCCTCCAGTATAACCACTTCCTGCATGCACATCGAGGCTGCAGTAGTAAGAAATGCCTGTCAAGAACTTTTGCTTGGCACTGTGCAGGGGGAGGCGAGTGGCACTTTTCTCAACTGCTGTGAGAAAGCCATCAAGCGCCCTACTTTCAAAGAAAAGTGATGATTAGCCTGGGCCCATTAAATGTCAGCGGTGCCATTAGCGCTCCATCGCACATCAGTGATGTAAAAGCTTCTGGCTAATAAACTAGATCCTAAAAGCAAGAAACAGGGACCTCCCAGTGTGTCTGCTTCAGAGCGCTGCAGCAAGCTCCAGCCTTGCCCAAGCTAGCAATTTCCTCCGAGAGACAAAAAGCAAACAGGTATAGACAGGACCTTGAAGCACAGGGATCTGGGTTCAAATCTCAAAGAGGAGCATAAAGTGGCTTAATGAGGGCCATTCATTAAAAATTTCACCTGACCCACTTCTATTTATCACAGGACTAGGAAACTGCACATGTGAAATGATATAAGTCTCTATAGGTTGCATGTCAATTTACAACTCAGAACTGAGAACCCTCTTGATTTTACAGGTGCTGAAGTGGTGTGAGGTTTGATAATGCACCCAGTGGAATACAGAGCAGTCTTCAAGTTCCTTTACTTGAAAGGCCGCAAACCAAGGAAGACGTTCGACGAGATGAAAGAGGTTTATGATGATGATTCTCCATCATATGATGTTGTCAAAAACTGGCATCGTCAGATCAAATGTGATCAGATCTGGGTGGAAATAGCTCCAATTCCAGGGCAACCCCACTCTGCTATTGATGAACACACCATCAAGCAAGTGGAGGTTGACATTTTGGAAAATCGCCACGTAACCATTCACCCCCTAGCCCAAAATGTCAAGATTAGTGTAGGGACCATGGAAAAAACCACCCAAGACCATCTTCACATACATAAGGTATCCGCTCGCTAGGTCCCCCGGCTGCTCACACCTTTCCAGAAGCAGGAACGAGTCGAATGCTCTTTGACTCTATCGACAATGATGTGCCATGGAAAAAGGAGGACTTTTTCAACAGACTGATCGTACAGGATGAAAGCTGAGTCCATCACTAAGATCCTGAGACTAAAGTCCAGTCAATGAAATGGAAGCATCATGCCTCACCACCTCCAAAGAAGGCACGTGCCCAACTCTTGGTAGGCAAGGTCATGCTCACAGTATTTTGAGACCAGCATGGAGTAGTATTGATGGATTTCCTAGCAAAGGGTACCATGATCAATGGGGCATACTATGCTTCACTGCTGCAGAAATTGCAGGAGGCCATCAAAACCAAGAAACGTGGCATGCTCACCAAAGGTGTGCGCCTTCTGCAAGACAATGCACCAGTTGACAACTCACCTGTTGCCCAAATATGGCTTTGAAATTCTACCGCATCCCCCTTCTTCCCTGACCTTGCACCATCGGACTTCCACCTCTTTCCAACAATGAAGTTATTTTTGAAGGGCATGCATTTTTCAGATGATGAGACTCTGATTTCCGAAGTCACAACGTGGCTTTTGGAGCAACCTGTTGACTTCTACAAGCGAGGTGTTTACAGTTGCTTAAAAAGGTGGGAGAAGTGTGTGTCCCTAGGTGGCACCTACATAGAGAAGGACTCATAATTGTGCCAAGTTTCATTGCTCTCAGTCCACAGGAAGTGGGTCAGGGCAAATCTTTAATGAACACCCCTCATAAGTCACGACTGGCCCAGTACCAGGGACTGATAAAACCTTGGTTTTATCTTGAAACCACAACTACAGCTTCAATGGAGACATGTTGAAATACAACCAGGCAGGCTATAGCACCAAATAAGACCTTCTGCATCCCACAAACTCCAAAATGAACTTTGTAAAGGCTGGTCATTAATTCATTAACCAACCAATCAATTAAAATCCCTTCCTGCCCCCCTCACTAAAGTCCAAGCATAGGATAGGATGTCCCAACCCAAATGCAACATCAATAAGTAAGTTTTCTTATCTCCCCCGTTCCGGTCACTATCTACATCAACGTTTTTATTGCAATGCTTTTCCTTTCTTTCCCTCAACAGAAGATGGAGCCCATTTCTCCAATCTAAAAACACCCGCAGATATTTCATCCCATCCTCTTTCCCCTTGCTGAAAACTCCTACTGATATTTTGTCCTGTTCTTTACCCCTCTTCCAAAAATACTCCCACTGACATTTCATATTTTTGCTTTTTTGAGGATGCGAATCACATTACAAAAGGGCAAAACAATGCAATTTTACCCCATCAGAGGAAAATGGGGTTTAAAATAAAGACCAGAAGGCGGGGCCGACACTTTGATATTTCTTTTCTTTTCGAGATCACGTGCTTCAATTGGGGATTCGAAAGCAACAAAAGACTCATTCTCTGGAAAGAACAAGACCAAAGGACTGCGCAAAAGCTAGGTTTCCAGAGCGCCTTCTGATTTAATGGAAGGAAACAAGTTACCTCTGCAAATTTTTTCAGTAATTAGGGCGTTAGGAACTCACATTGAAACAGGAGCATTTCCAAGTTACTTTTTCAAAGTTACCTTTCAACGGCATTTTAACCGGGAATTGATAGATTTTATTTTATTATTTATTTACTACATTAATACCCCGCCCTTCTCACCACAAAGGGGACTTAGAGCAGCTTATATAATTTGGCACAATTTGATGCCACAATTCCATAATATATAAACAAAACAATATAAAACAATAAAACAGATAAAACATCCCTCTGCAATGACAGAAATACAGCTTAATGGTGTAACATCAGAAAATGTTGACCATTTCTGCTCCCTTGGCAACCACCTCTCCACAAAAGTCAACATTGTCACTGAAATACAACACCTCCTGAGCTCTGCGAGTGCAGCATTTTTCCCAATGAAGCAGAGAGTGTTTGAGGATCGGGACATCCGTAGGGATACTAAGGTGCTTGTTTATAAAGCTATTGTTCTCCTAACCCTAGCTATACACTTGCAAAACGTGGACTGTCTACAGACGTCATACTCAACTCCTAGAACGATTCCATCAGCGTTGCCTCCGAAAAATCCTGCGAATCTCTTGGGAAGACAGGCAGACAAATGTCAGTGTGCTGGAAGAAGCAAAGACTACCAGCATTGAAGTGATGCTCCTATGCCATCAACCCCGCTGGACTGGCCACCTTGTCCGAATGCCCAATCACCATCTATACTCCAAACTCAATAATAGGAAACGGAAGGTTGGTGGACAGGAAAATAGATGTAAAGATGGGCTTAAAGGCAACCTTAAAAACTGTGGCAGAGACACAGAGAACTGGGAAGCCCTGGTGCTTGAGAGCTCTAACTGGAGGTCAGCTGTGAGCAGAAGTGCTGTAGAATTCGAAGAGGTACAAATGGAGGGAAAAGGGGAGAAGGCACATCAAACCAACCCTGACCAGGACTGCCTTGCAGGTCAAGAATAGGGCTCCACATATCCACCAGCAGGACACTACACTTGGAGCGCCATCATCCTCAAGCTACAAGGGATGGCCTAAGTAAGTTATAAATATAATAAAACTTTAAGACACGGCACCTAACCCTGTCGCCATCACTAGTGTTGCTATGCCAATTCCAATTCCATATTGCACTACCTGAATTCCTGAGGGTGTAACCAAGCTTTCACCTTTTTCCTAAAAACCAGAAGGGAGGGGGCCAGACTGACTGCACTGGGGAGGGAGTTCCGTAGCTGAGGGGCCACCACTGAAAAGGCCCTGTCTCTCATCCCCACCAACTGAGCCTGCGACAGAGGTGGGACTGAAAGCAGGGCCTTCCCAGAAGATTTCAACATTCTCACAGGTTTATAGAGGGAGATATGTTTGGATAGGTAAGTTGGACCAGAACCGTTTAGGGCTGTATAGGCCAAAGCCAGCACTTTGAATTATGCTCGGTAGCCGACTGGCAGCCAGTGGAGCTGATGTAACCGGGGGCTTGTGTACTGGTGAGAAATCTGGCTGCTGCTACCCACTGGACTTTTTGAAGCTTCTGAACAGGCTTCAAAGGCAACCCCTTGTAGAGTGTATTGCAGTAGTCAGTTTGAGATGTAATAAGACCGTGGACCACCGCGGCCAAGTCTGGATTGTCAAGATATGGGCACAGCTAGCGCACAAGTTTTAACTGTGCAAAAGCAATCCTGGCCACTGCCGAAACCTGGCATTTCAGGCTCAGTGACAAATCCAGGAGGACTCCCAAGCTGCGAACCTGTGTCTTCAGGGGGAGTGTAACCCTGTCCAACACAGGCTGTAACCCTATACCCTGTTTGGCCTTATGACTGAGCAGAAGTAGCTTTGTCTTGTCTGGAATCAATTTCAATTGAATATTTTTATATACTTATCGATCTCCTCCAAGTAACAAAAAAGGATTCCCACGAATTGCTGTTTACGTTGTAATGCATTCATTTCTCAAACATAGCCAACAGTATTGGGAGGAAATTATTCTTCCAAAGTAATTGTTGGATGTGTCTTAATTGTTGTTTTATTTTTTAATATTTTGATTGTACTGCGGTTGTTTTTATGACGCTAGCATCATATGATGCTTTTGTTAGGCCGCACTGAATCCCCCTTCGGGGGAAGAAGGGCGGGATATAAATATAGGAAATAAATAAATATATAATAAACTGCATCTACACTGTGGAATGAATGCAGTTTGGTACTGCTTTAACTGCCATGGCTCAATGCTATGGAATCATGAGAGTTGTGGTTTTACAAAGTCTATAGCCTTCTCTACCAAACTACATGTCCCACAATTTCTTAGCATTGAGCCCTGGCAGTTCAAGTGGGGTCAAACTGCACTCATTCCACAAAGCTTTAGATGGAGTTTTTAAAAAGCTATTCCCAAAGAAAACTTTGAAAACAACTCACCCACAAGTAGCTTGACGTCCCGTACTGTGAAATCCAGGTCTGGCATCCTGAAATGGGCAAAACTGGAGTGAGCATGATATTAAAAGGCTGAAATTCAGCAGCAGGTCAGAATACAGTTGAAAGGACATATACTGTACATCCGAAGAGTCATCTTGAGCCATGCCAATGCCACTCAGCAGCCTAACCAATCCGTTTTAAACTGAATTTAAATGGACGTTTTTACTGGAATGCATGATTTTAATGTCTTTTAATCTTAGGCTTATGGGTCCTCTACAAATGCAGTTTGAATCCTCTTGAACTGGGCTGGGCTTTAGCACAGCAGGTTAATTATCAGCTTCAATTAATCTTGCCAATCGAAAGATTGACCATTTGAAGCCCAGATCGGGCTGAGCGCCTGGCCTTTAGCCTAGCTTCTGCCTACCTAGCAGTTCGAAAGCAAATATGAGTAGAGAAATAGGTACCGCTTTAAGTGGGGAGGTATTTAAGGCACCCATAAGGAAATACCAGAAAACACAGGCGATTTGATGAAGGAGGAAATTTACGAAGAAAGCTCTTCGGCAAGGAAAGTGGAGTGACAGCATCCCCTCATGGCCGGAGCCGAGCACATCCTCCAAGATGCTGAAGATGGGAAAGCCTATATATACCTCCATCTATATACAGTTGTCTGTCTTTTCAGTGTACAACGGCATTGAATGTTTGCCGCATATGTCTCCGAGTCCCCTTTGGGATGAGAAGGGAGGAGTATAAGTACTGTAAGTAAATAAATAAATAAATTGAACTGCCATGGTTCAAGGTTATAGAATCCTGGAAGCTGCAATTTTACAAAATCTTGAGACTTCTCTACCAGAGAGTCTATGCCACACCAAATTAAAGATCTTAGGATTCCACAGCATTCAGCCATGGCAGTAAATGTGGAATCGAACTGCATTAATTCTACAGTGAAGATAGTTTGATGTTTAATCCTATTTTAGAGTGTGCATGTTTTTGAGGTTTTAAATTGTATACTCTACTGTTTTTAATGTCGTCAGCTGCTTGGGGTTTCGGTTTAGAGAGATAAAGTTGAATATAAGCATCCTCATCCCTGAAACTTTGATGCCTTCTTAATTCAAATCCTGCATTTGCGGCCTGGCAAGCAGGTACAATTGCCATTTGCCCTGGCCCACCCCGAGCCCTTGAAACGCTACACATCCCCGGCTGTCATTTTGAGAGACAGAGAATATAAGACATTAAGAGCACTGTCTTACTTAATTCCCAGTCCAGCCTTATTTCTGAAGATGAGGGGGACACGAAGGGCCTCTCGCTGCACATACTCAAATGTGAAATCTAAACAAAACAGGAAATAAAGGCAGAAAAATTCGACATTACAATGATAAAGCAACACTGTTGGAGAAGAGCAAGGGTGCATCATTCTACACCACAGAATTGATGCACTTTGACACCACTTGACTTGCCATGGCGTTCAGTCCTATGAGATCAAGGGAGCTGTAGTTTGACAAGCTCTTCAGCTTCCCCTGCCATCGAATGCTGGTGCCTCTCCAAACTACAACTCCCAGGACGCCACAGCATTGAGACACAGCAGTTCAAGTGGTATCAAACTGCATTCATTCAACAGTGTAGATCAGGCAAGGGCAAACTTCGAGCCTCGGGGTGTTTTGGACTTCAACTCCCACAATTCAGCTGTTAGGAATAATGGGAGTCGAAGTCCAAAACACCCTGAGGCCCGAAGTTTGCCCTTGCCTGGTGTAGACGCAGCCTGAGTCATGCACAGATGCACCAAAACAAGGCAAGTTGATCATAGCTAAGCAAAGCCCCGCCAATTTCTGTACAATTTCTATAGCAGATTCCCAATCACGGTCTTCCAGGTGCTTTGGACTACAACTCCCAGAAGTCCCAGGTGCTTTGGTCAATTCTGGGAGCTGAAGTGCAAAACACCTGGAAGACCAGAGTTTGGAAACCACTGTCAGGGCTTCATGCAACGGAACCCAAGGGATGGGAATTTGGTGAGGGCCCGCACACTTGAGCAGAGAAGGATGAAGATCTTGCCAAACTGCAATTCCCAGGATTCCAGAGCAACGAGCCTCAGCAGTTCAAGTGGGGTCGAACAACATGCTTTCACCAGCACCAACCAAGAGATCCCCTATGAGTAGGGCAGCAGGCAGGAAATCAGCAGGTCAGTGGGCCCTGCACACATATGCACACGCACACACCGGGGTGCCTTCACACAAGGTACCTTTGCCCTCCATGGCCCGCACAAACTGTCCCCGGAAGCTGGAGCTCCTCAGCTTCTCCTCCAGGCTGAATCCCCGGACACTGACGATCTCCTCCACGTCAGAGAGATCCTCGTTCTCGTCATAGAGCCGCCGGCTGATGGATCGCTGCAAAAGGGAAGGAAGGCTAAGCCCCGTGGGGTCCACTCAGGTCAGGGCCCGTGATGGCTTTGGCGGGTTTGACATCAGGCTGTGTTCTCTAGTTTCAATATTTAAAATAATATCACACTGGGTGGGGGTGGGTGGGAGCCTTGTGTTTCTGCTGTTCTGGAGATGACAAAGCAGAGTAATGGATTCCAATGGCAGAACAAGAGATTCCACAATGAACATTAAGAAGCACTTCTTGATGGGAAGGAGCTGTTCAGCAGCCTTGGGGCCCTTCTACACAGCCATATAAGCCAGAATATTAAGACAGAAAATCCCACAATATCTGCTTTGAACTGGGTTATTTGAGTCCATACTGTCATATATCCCACTTCAAAGCACATAATGTAGGATTTTATTCAGCTGTGTGGAAGGGGCCTTGGAGTCTCATGGAGGTTTTGATGGCCATCTGTTTGGAGATCTTTGATTGCCTTTTCCTCCCTTGGAGAGGGTTGGACTCCATGGCCTTTGTGGTCCCTTCCAACTCTATAAGAATAATGACCCCACACATTCCACTCTTTCTCCCCTTCTCTCTTCCTTTGGGGGGGCCTTTAAGCAAAGGCAGTGTGGCCATCTGTCAGGAGGGCTTTGATATGCCCTTCTACACTGCCATATAATCCAGAATATCAAGTCAGATAATCCACATTATCTGGCGCACCTTCCACACAGCTGTATAACATCCACACTGAACTGGATTATATGTAAGTGGACTCAGATAATTCAGTTCAAAGCAGATATTGTGGATTATCTACCTTGGTATCTGGGTTATATGGCTGCATTGAAGGGCCTTGAGTCTACACTGCCACATAATCCAGTTCAAAGATAATCCAAATTTTATACAGATGTCCACAGTTAGTGTCTTCCTTCATGACAGAAGGGGGTTGGACTAGATAGCCTTTAGGGTCCCTTCTAACTCTAGGAGGCCCCTTCCACACAGCTGAATAAAATCCCACATTTTCTGCTTTGAACAAGGTTATATGCCAGTATGGACGCAGATAACCCAGGGTCATCTGGGTTATCTGCCTTCATATTCTGGGTTACATTGATGTGTAGAAGGGCTCTGGGTTATCTGAGTCCACACTGCCATATATCCCAGTTCAAAGCAGATATTGCGGGATTTTCTACCTTGATATTCTGAGTTGTATGGTTGTGTGGAAGGGCTCTGGGTTATAGGAGTCTACACTGCCATATAACCCAGTTCAAAGTAGATCTTGTGGGATTTTCTGCCTTGATCTTCTGGGTTGTATGGCTGTGTGGAAGGGTTCTGGGTTATCTGAGTCCACACTGCCATATATTCCAGTCCAAAGCAGGTATTGTGGGATTTTCTGCCTTGATCTTCCGGGTTCTATGGCTGTGTGGATGGGCCCTAAGGAGTCTTAAGACATGGTTTTCCTAGAGCTCTAACCGGGGTCAGGGCGGGAAGGGACGCTACTGGAGTGACACGTCTCTGTGACACACGTGAGAATGAACTCCAGAAAAAGGAAAACAATCAAACAGGGAAGGGGCTGATCTTAGAGACCTCTCCTAGATATCAACACGTGTTTTATTTTGTTGGGGGGGGGGGGAGATGGGAAACAGGCCTTTCCCGTTTGTAGCCAAACACGTTGCGTTATGTAACGTAGGCATGTGGCGAGGAGGGAGGGAAACCCCCCTTCGACACGCGTCTTGCCGCCTCAGCTGCCATTATTTATTTTAGCTATTAGTTTTGTTTTGGTTTATTGGGAAAATAAAGAGATCGGATAGAGGGGAGTCTCAAGAAAGGAGCAACGCCAAAGAGATTTTTTTTGCTCAGACACGGGTCACACGTGTGAACGCGCGATAGGGGGGAGGCAGGGCGGGGAGGGTTGCGGTGCCTCTTGTTGACTCTCCCCTCCCCTTGAAGAAACCAACCTCAACCCTTAGGGAGGCTTCCCTCTGGGGAAAAAAACCCAAACAAATAAGACATGAAAAGAAGGGGGGTTCCCCAGTACCCACCAGTCTTCTTCCCGAATCTTGCCCTGTCTCCATGTTCCGGGGAGTTTCATCGCTCCGAGTGCCACGGTTCCGCCTTTGGGTCCGGCTGGGGAGGTTCGGCCTGGGTCCCTGCCCCCAAATAATGGGGAGGAGGAGGAGAGAGAAAGGTTCCCCCAAAGAGGACCCCCCCCCCCCTTGGAGATTCCCCACCCCTTTTTGGATCTTTCAAACAACAACACCCAAAACACCCCCCCCCCCGAACAACCCACGCCCGATCCCTTTTTGAAAAGGGCTCTCCTCCCTTTTAAAGTTTGCCCCCCGCCCCGCTTCTTTTCTATTTTAATAATAAATCAGCACTTTTTCCAAAGGTGGCTGGAGAGGCACTGAAGGGAAGGGAAGGGAGGGGACGGGGGGCTCCCTGATCAATCCATCACTCAGTCAATCAAAGAGATCGCTTGGGCTGTGATTGTCTTTTTCCAACCCTTCCCCAAGAGATACAGAGAGAGAGATCTCCAAGGGAGGGAAGGAGAGAACGCCGCGCAGGCGTCACACTCGTCCCCGGAACGTAAACATTGGGGCTGGCGGGCGGGGGGGGAAATCCCGGATTGGGGCACCAGCGCGGTGCTTCTTCCTCCTCCTCCGCCTGCGCCGCGGCTGGGTGCTCATCTTGGCCAGTGTTGTTGTTGGGTCACGAGGACGGGCCAGCGCGCAGGCGCGGAAGTGCAAGGGCGCGTGCGGGACCGGCGGGAGGAGGAAGGCGGCTGCGAAGAGCGCGCGGCGGGAGGCAGGCAGGCAGGGAGAAGAGCGGGAGGAGTTCCTCGCCGGGAGGGAGGGGCGGGCGAGCGAGCGAGCCGGAAGTTCCCCCAGGAAGATGTTGTTGGGAGGCAAGGCTGGCCCACCTCTCAGGGTTGGCGTGAAGATCACGCGAGGGAGGGAGGGGCTTCTCCTCGAAGTCTAGGCTAGCTTTAGAAAGAGCCTAACGAACAAACAGATATATTGGGTTGTTATAGGTTTTTCGGGTTATATGGCCATGTCTAGAACATGGCCTAGAACATGGCCATATAACCCGAAAAACCTACAACAACCCAGTAATTCCAGCCATGAGAGCCTTCGACAATACACAGATATATTGTCGAAGGTTTTCATGGCCGGAATCAGTTGCTCTAAGTTTTTCCGGGCTGTATGGCCATGTTTCAGAAGCATTCTCTCCTGACGTTTCGCCTGCATCTATGGCAAGCATCCTCAGAGGTTGTGAGGTCTGTTAGAAACTAGGAAAATGTGGTTTATATATCTATGAAATGTCCAGGGTGGGAGAAAGAACTCTTGTCTGTTAGAGATAGGTGTGAATATTTCATTGGCCACTTTGGTTACCATCCACAAATATATATAAACCCCATTTTCCCAGTTTCCAACAGACCTCACAACCTCTGAGGATGCCAGCCAAAGATGCAGGCGAAACATCAGGAGAGAATGCTTCAGGAACATGGCCATACAGCCCGGAAAACTCACAACAACCCAGCGATTCTGGCCATGAAAGCCTTTAACAATACATCTGTTTGGGTTGTTGGGAGTTTTCTAAGCTGTATGGCCACATTCCAGTAGCATTCTCTCCTCATGTTTCATCAGCATCTATAGCAGGCATCCTCAGAAGTTGTAAGGTCTGTTGGAAACTAGAAAAATGGGACTTATATATCTGTGGAATGTCTATGGTATGAGAAAGCACTCTTGTCTGTCTGAGGTAGATGTGAATGTTTCAAATGGCCACCTTGATTAGCATGGACCACTCTTAACAGCTACCATGTCAAGACGACACAGAGAAGCCATTGAAACCCACAAGCGTGTGCACAGTTTCAACAGGAAGAAACCATGAAAATGAAGAAAATCTGGCTACCAGTATTAAAAAAACTCTCAAATCATAACAGTAAATAAAGAACAACACTCGAAATCAGGGGAATTCCAGACAAGAAACAATCATGGCCAGCTAATCACCTCCCAACAAAGGATTCTCCCAGGCAGTAAGAAGTCCCCACTGCCAGATATTCTGGGATAAACAGAAAACCTGGAATATTGGGCCTGTCTGGAAGGGCCCTGGGTTAATATTCATTAAAGGAAAGGGGAACAAACTTGTAACAGAGACAATGAAATTTTGGAATTAAAAGATAACATCAGTGGTCCAGGTGAAGGTTGTACAAGAAAAGGGCATGAGATGAGGATGGGAGCATCAAAAAGGAATAGTAAAACAGAATGTTTAAAAAGATAGAAAATTGTAATAGAATTAGATGCATAATATGTTTTAAGTGGGGAAAGTTCAAAACTAGATGGGAAGCATTTTATAATCATGTTTATTGTTCTTTTAGATAAGCTCTTATGCAAAATGTTAGCATGCACAATGATTTTATGTATAGCTCGATGTATTAAGACATCAATATTTTTTTCATCTTGTTTAAATATGATGTACCTTCCCAGTTTAGATATTGTTTCTTTTTTTAATCGTTAATTGTATGTTCTGTTTTAGTAATAAAAAAATTAAAAAATAGGAAGGGCCCAGGCAAGGCAATCTACTTGTTGCCATAGCAATGCTCAGTGTGGGCTTATAGGGAGGGCTCCAGCCACACTAGAGAATGAATGCAGTTTGACACCACTTTGAACTGTGATGGAGTCATGTGATTTGTAGTTTGGGAAGGCACCTGCACCCTTTGGCAGAGAACTACAGCTCCCAGGGTTGGAGAACAACGAGGTCCCATTGACACCGCCATATAATCCAGTTTCTCAATCCAGATGATCTCCTTTGAACTGGATTACACCCAACCAACTTCCACCAAAAGCCAAGGAAGTAGCCCAGACCCTGACAGTAGCCTGTCTGCTTTTGTGGACTGGATGAGGACGAACAAATTGAAATTGAATCCAAACAAGTCAGAGGTCCTCCTGGTCAGTCGTAAGGCAGATCAGAGTAATGGGTGGCAACCTGTGCTTTATGGGGACACAGGTCCACAGAATCAGGGTCTTGGACTCATTGCTAAGCCTGGAACCCCAGGTGTCGGTGGTGGCCAGGAGGGCCTTTAATAATTATAATTTTTAAAAAAACTGTATTTATATTATGCTCTATCTTCCTGGAGGGACAAGGCAAATATTCAGTACCCAAATACAACAACAGTACATTCATACTAACAAAATTTAACAACCCGACATATAAACACAAATTATGACTTAACAACTAGAATTAAAGAAAAAACTCATCCTGTTATAACAGACATAAGACAAAACATCAAACATCGAAGAGAAGAAACAATTTCCCAGTTCCTTGGGGCAAATAGATTGATCATTGCTCAAGATATCTATTGAGCTGGTGGGGTGAGCAGGGCACAGATACGGATGGTAGCTATTAATCAGAGGTATAATGGTACTATTACCAACTACTACTCCTCGTAAGCCAGTGAGCAAAGGTATGTATTCAGCTGTTTGTTGAAAGCTGCAACCATACCTTGAGAAGCCAGACTTGGCCATGGTGGTCCACACCTTAGTTACATCCCATTTAGATTACTATAATGTACTCTACATGGGGCTGCCCTTGAAAACTGCCCAGAAACTCCAACTGGTTCAGAGATCTGCAGCCAAGTTATTTACAGGTGCTGGACCCAGGGAGTGTGCCCCCCCCCCCGTCCCCGTTACAGCAGCACCTTCAGTGGCTGCCAATGTTTTCAAGCCCAATTCATGGTGCTGGTTTTGACCTTTAAAGCCCTAAACGGTTCAGGCCCAACATACCTATCTGACTGCATTGCCTCTTACCAACCTGCCCAATCATTAAGATCTTCCGGAGAGACCCTGCTCTTTTTGCTGCCACCATCACAAATATGGCTGATGGTGATGAGAGAGAGGGCCTTCTTGGTAGCCACCCCGGCCCTTTGGAACTCCCTCCCCATTGAGATTAAAATTGCCCCTTCCCTGTTACCTTTTAAGAAGCAGTTGAAGACCTACCTACTGTTCAAGCAAGCTTTTGATGAATGAATTCAATTGCTAATGACAGCAAGATTGAGTTGCACTGAGCTTAACGAAATATACTATTTAATGGATGAGTCTCCACAATAATTGTAATTGCTTTTAAATGTTTTTAATGCTTAATATTTATATAATATTTCTGGATGTTATTATGCTTTGTGTCATTTTCGTATTGTATTTTATGTAAAATGTGCTTTGATTAGTATTGTGTTATGTTGTGAACCGCTTTGGGTCCCGTTGGGGAGAAAAGCAGGATATAAATAAAAGATTACTATTACTATTGTTGTTGTTGTTGTTATATGGCAGCATAGATTCATATCATCCTTTATTTTATTTTATTTTATCTTATTTTATTGGCAGTGTAGAAAGGGCCTGGATTATATGACAGTATAGCTCCAGGCTGAGGCAAGACCGTTAAAGAGGTTTCAAACCACATCATTTTGTCATGGTAGGACTGTGTGCTAAATTTGATTCTGATCCACTGTTGATGGCATTCACAGGATGTTCCTCCTTCCCCTACCAAATGGCTGTGCCCAAGTACCTTGGCCCCTTCTACACTGTCATATAACCCAGATGATCAAAGCAGACAATCTACTTTATTTGCTTTGAACTGTATTATATGAGTCTACACTTGCCATATAATCCAGTTCAAAGCAGATCATTTGGATTTTATATGGCAGTGTAGAAGGGGCCCCTGTTGCTTGCCATTGGGAGAAAGATTGCTTCTGCCTATTTGTTACATCCTTGCAGGGTTGTTGTAGGGGTGATAAGGAATGGGGTGGCCCTCCTGTGAGGGGTTGCTGGTCATTGCAGTCAAACTCAGGAGGGCCACTCCTGGAACATTGTAGAGCAGTGGTTCCCAAATCTGGTTCCTGCAGGGGCTGTGGATTTCAGCTTCCAGACTCTATCTGTAGTGTAGAGCAGTGATTCCCAATCTCTAATCTTCCAAAGTTTTTAGGCTTCAACTCCCAGAATCCTCAGCTGCTTCGGATAATGGCAGGGATTCTGAGAGCTGAAGTCCAAAACCTCTGGAAGACCAGAGTTTAGGAAACAAGGATATAGACAGATGCACTCACTGTTGATGCCTTGGTTCTCAACTGTAGCTTCCATATTTTGTTCCTGCAACTGTTTTGGACTTTAGCTCCCAGGAGCCCCAGCGGTAGGCCGATGGCCAGGAAGTCTGGGGACTGATTCTCTCTGAATTGGGAGCTCCGCCATTTGATGAGAGACAGGTAGGAGGAACATCCTGGTCCACAGCCTCTTGCCTCACAAACACAAGCATTTAATTATACAGTGTAGATGCTCCTCCTCCCATCCCAGAGAAAGCCCAAAACTTGCTAAAAGTATGTAAAATTCAAATTTTCACTCCAGGTAAGCAGCCATTGCCCGGTGTTTACTACATAAGCCATTCTCCAGTCCTTGGGAACAAGATGTACCATATCACCTTCACAGTGACCGCTCATTCTTTTTGAAGGAAGACCAAGGTGATAACAAAAGCATTTTGAAGTCATGTTCATTCCCTGCTCCTCTAACCTGTGGTTCAAGCTTTCCTCCCTTGTTGGATGAGTCCAGGGGAACAAGGTGTGGGACTGCAAACCAAAGGTGAAACAAATTTTTGCATCTTACGGCAGTTTTGAAAGGCAAGGTTCATTCTCCTTGACGCTCCACACTGGCGAGACTTAATATGTTCCCATTTGGGTGTCTTTTCCTGTAGTTGAACTTGGCCGAGATGGTTGCCCCTCCATAGAAATGGAGACCGCTATGGACTTGACGGCTCCCAGCTTAGTTCAGGGAAGGAGCCGCGGCTCATTAAAATGTTGTTCTGTGTGCCGTAGCCATGGTTTTCCTGAGGCCACCTTTCTATACAATGCCACCACTGTACGAAATGGGGAGAGGAAGGCGGGGAGTGCGCTCAGTTCGGGTGTCGCTGCCGCTTTCATTCCCAGGGATCTGTGAAAAGCAACAATGCCGAACAAAGGCATACCTTTCCACCTAGGTGCCTTGGGTGGCTTTTGTTAAAAGTGCAAAAACCATGTGCAGAAATTGCATCCAAGGGCTTTTTCGTACGGATCCATTTTCCTTGTTCGCAATAAAAGGGGGCTTTAGGCAAAATGACAAGGTGCCGCCTTGCTGTGAAAATTCAATAGGCCTCGAAATTGGGGCCAAAAAGAGAGTAATAGATCCTTAATGGAGTGGTGATCTATCTATGTATATTTGTGGTTCCCAACCTTATTTTGACCAGGGACTACTGTGACCATGGACCACTCCAACATTAGTACCAAAAGGGTTACGAATCAATTTTTGGTCAACTTTAAATTCAGTTTGGTTATTTGGGGTGCTGATTCAGCAAATTGCATTGCATAGACCACATCAGCTCTAGTTTCTGATACAGAACATATGCCATCCAGTAGTCACCATCTGCTCGCCCACAAAAAAAAACATATTTAAGAAGCCTTGGCACTATAAGAAGGTTTCACAAGACTAGTTGCTCTCATTGCAACAGTGTAGTAACAGTGAGGCCGCAGACCATATTTTAGTTCTTGCGGACCACTGGTGGTCCACGGATCACAGGTTGGGAACCACTGATGTGTGTAATAAAAGTTTATATGTGTGTGTGAGAGAGAAAGTGCATGTAATAATAATAATAATAATAATAATAATAATAATAATAATAATAATAATAATTTTTATTTATATTCCGCTCTATCTCCCTGAAGGGACTCAGGGCAAATTACAAACATAAAAGACAAACATTCAGTGCCCGAATACAACAACAATACATCTATACTAACAAAATTTAAACAACCCAACATAGAAACACTAATTATAATTTAACAACTAAAATCAAATACAAAACACAACCTGTTATAACAGACATAAGACAAAACATCAAACATCAAATGGATAAAACATCAAACATCAAATGGAAACAATGCATCTCCCTATGTTTGAATGTGTTATTCAAGATGGCTCCGACATCCATTCTGTGACTCCTACCAGCAATGGATCTGGACCAAACTTGACATGCACACAGGCCCCTTCTCCACTGCCATATAATCTAAATTTTCAAAGCAAATAATCCACATTATCTGCTTTGAATTGGATTATATGAATCTATACTGCCATATAATCCAGTTCAAAGCAGATAATCGCGATTTTATGTGGTAGTGTAGAAGGGTCCACACACACCCCATGATCAGTTTTAAGGACTCAAGTAGTTTGGGAGTGGGAGATGATGGGTGATAAAGGATGGGAATTGTAGTTCACCCATATGCGCAGAGCACTGTGAACCCTGCCAACAGTGGATCGGGATCAAACTTTGCACACAGTCCCACTATGACAAAAATTTTAAGGACTGGTGGGGTTTGGAGGGAAATGGGAGATGCAGTTCACTCACATCCCAAGAGCACTATGAATCCCACTGATGATGGATCTGGACCAAACTTGCCACACAAGACCCATCATGACAAACTTTAACTACTGGCAACATTTGGAGGGAACTGACCCAAGATCATGGGAGCTATAGTTCACCCACTTTCTTATGCTTTTTTGAATGGGACCATTAATCAAAACACAACAAACAAGGAGTGCTTCTAATAAAGAGCATGACAGGGCCCTTCCACACAGCCATATAACCCAGAATATCAAGGCAAAGAATCCCACAACATCTGGTTTGGACTGGGTTATCTGAGTTTCCACTGCCATATTTTTCAGTCCAAACAGATAATGTGGGATTTTTTGCCTTGATATTTTGGGATATAGGGCTGTGTGGAAGGACCTTGAGTCCACACTGCCATATATCCCTGTTCAAAGCAGATAATGTGGGGTTTTATTCAGCTGTGTGGAAGGGGCCACAGATAAGTTATGAGATGCATTGTGTTGTTATTGTTGTGTCAATATTGTATATTGTGCTCTAATGGTTTTAAATTGTATATCGTTGATTGATCTTATCCTTGTTGTAAACCACGTTGAGTCGCCTGTTAGGCTGAGAAACTGCGGTATACAAGTAAAGTAAATAAATAAATAAGTAATCTGGGCATTGTTGAGTAACTGTGGCCCCATCTGCACTGCCATATAAAACCCAGATTATCAGATTTGAGCAGGATTATATGTCAGGGCCCTTCCACACAGCCATATAACCCAGAACATCAAGGCAGAAAATCCCACAATATCTACTTTGAACTGGGATATCTGAATCCACACTTCCATATTTTCCAGTTTAGAGCAGATAATGTTGGATTTTATTCAACTGTGTGGAAGGGGCCGCAGTATAGACTCCTATAATCCAGTTCAAAGACGATAATCCTCACATTCATCTTTGAATTGGATTATATGGTAGTGTAGACTCAGGCCCCTTCTGCACTGCCAGATAAAACAGGTTATCAAAGCAGCAAATCCACATTTTCTGATTTGAACTGGATTATTTTAGGGCCTTGTCCACACAGCCATATAACCCAGAGTATCAAGGCAGATAATCCACAATATCTGCTTTGGACTGGGTGATCTGAGTCCACACTGCCATATCACCCAGTTCAAGGTGGATTGTATACAGCTGTCCAGAAGAGGCCTACACTGCCATATAATCCAGTTCAAAACAGATAATCCGGATGTTTTATGGCATGTAGGTGGGGCCTGTGTAGAAGGGGCCTGGCGGCCCTTTCACACATTCCTATATCCCAGAATATCACGGCAGAAAATTCCACAATATCTGCTTTGAACTGGGTCACCTGAGTCCACACTGCCATATATTCCAGTTCAAAGCAGATATTGTGGGGGCCCTTCCACACAGCTAAATAAAATCCCACATTATCTGCTTTGAACTGGGATATATGGCAGTGTGGACTCAGATAATCCGGTTCAAGGCAGATATTGTGGGATTTTCTGCCGTGATGTTCTGGGATATAGGGCTGTGTGGAAGGGCCCTGAGTGCGAGAAAGCAGGATATCAGTCAAAGTTGTTCGGGACTTCAACTCCCAGAAGCCTCGGCTGCGGTGGCCAATGAGCAGGGATCCTGGGAGCTGAAGCCCAAAAGGCCGGGACGGGCCTGGGACGGGCCTTCTCCGGTCTTGGCCCGGCCCCAGGGGGAGGCGCTGCGAGGAAGGAGAGCGCCCGGAGCCGAGCCTGACGGAGGGAAGCGGGCCTCATGGGGTGCTGAGGCGGCGGCGAGGAGAAGGGAGGAAGGAAGGAAGGGAGGAAAGAAGGAAGGGAGGAAGGAGGCAGGGAGGCGGAGGAGGAGAAGCCCACGCTCCCCATGAGCCTCAACGAGCACTCCATGCAGGCGCTGTCCTGGCGGAAGCTTTACCTCAGCCGGGCCAAGCTCAAAGCCTCCAGCCGCACCTCGGCCCTGCTCTCCGGCTTCGCCATGGTGAGCCCCCATCTCTTCCTCCTCCCCCCCCCCCCGCTCCCACCCCTTTGGCTCTCCAGCTCGGCCTGGAGGACTCCAGGACCCTTTAGCCACTGAGAGGGTTGTTTTGGCCTTCCTCTGAGGCTGAGAGAGTGTGGCCAGCCTCAAGGTCCTCCTCTTGGTTTCCAGCTGGGCCGGAAGCAGCCCAAGTTGGGGATTCTTGATTGAAAGGGTTGCTTTGATCTTCCTCTGAGGCCGAGAGAGTGTGACCCACCTCTCCAGGTTGGGTATCCTTGATTGAAAGGGTTGCTTTGGCCTTCCCCTGAGGCTGAGAGAGAGTGACCCATCTCTGGGCACCCCCATTGGCTCTCCAGCTGAGCCAAAAGGACTCCAGGTTGGGTGGTCTTGATTTAAAGGGGGGTGCCTTCTGAGGCTGAGAGTGACACACCTCAGCACACCCCCTTTGGCTTTCCAGTTGAGCTTAAAGCATTCCAGGTTGGGTATTATCCATTGAGAGGGTTGTTTTGGCCTTTCTGTGAGGCTGAGAGAGTGTGACCCACCTAAAGGCACCCCTTTGGCTCTCTAGCTGGGCCTGGAGGAGCCCAGAATGGCTATTCTTGATTAAAAGGGTTGTTTTTGCCTACTTCTGAGGCTGAGAGAGTGTGACCCACTTCAGAGCACCCTCTTTGGCTTTCCAGCTGAGCCTAAAGGCCTCCAGGTTGGGTATTGTTGATTTAAAGGATTGTTTTTGCCTTCTTCTGAGGATGAGAGAGTGTGACATGCCTAAAAGCACCCCTTTGGCTCTCCAGATTGGGTATTATTGATTAAAAGGGTTGTTTAGCCCATCCTTTGAGACTGAGAGAGTGTGGTTGCCTAAAGTTATCCCCCTGGCTTTCCACCTGGGCCTGGAGGACCCCATGTTGGGTATTATTAATTGAAAGGGTTGTTTTTGCCTTCTTCTGAGGCTGACAGAGTGTGACCCACAGGGGGGCTCTCCAGCTGAGCCTAAAGGACTCCCAGTCAGATATTATTGATTGAAAGAGTTGTTTTAGCCTTCCTCGGAGGCTGAGAGAGTGTGGCCTGCCTAAAGGCATCCTTTTGGGTTTCCAGCTGGGCCTGGAGAACCTCAGGTCGGGTATTATTGATTGAAAGGGTTGTTTGAAAGCCATAAATAACACTTTCTTTCTTTCTTTCTTTCTTTCTTTCTTTCTTTCTTTCTTTCTTTCTTTCTTTCTTTCTTTCTTTCTTTCTTTCTCATGGTTGAGTGTGTGATCAAGCTAAAAGTTTTGCATGTGTCCAGAAGTCTACTCTTTATGCAAGCAAGTCTCAGGACCACACAATATATGCCCAAGCAGTCCCAAGCGAGCCTCCTTGGCAAAAAGAACTGAGAAAAGAGCCAACCCCTCATTGAATTAATGGAAGTTATCTATTATCGAAAGAGGAAGATGTCCAAAAGTGGGGGAAGCCTGTGCTGAGCTAGGAGGGATCGCAGGGTTTGGATTAAGGCAGGGGTCCTCAAACTAAGGCCCGGGGGCCGGATACGGACCTCCAAGGTCATTTACCCGGCCCTCGCTCAGGGTCAACCTAAGTCTGAAACGACTTGAAAGCACATAACAACAACAACAACAATCCTATCTCATCAGCCAAAAGCAGGCCAACATTTCCCATTGAAATACTAATAAGTTTATATTTGTTAACATTGTTCCTCATTTTAATTATTGTATTGTTTTTAAGTGTTTATTACACTACAAATAAGATATGTGCAGCGTGCACAGGAATTCATGTTTTATTTTTCAAATTATAATCCGGCCCTCCAACAGTTTGAGGGACTGTGACCCGGCCCTCTGCTTAAAAAGTTTGTGGACCCCTGGATTAAGGCAATGACATACCTTGAAAGGACTAATCCTGGCAAATCGGGCCCTGTTTTTTTTCCCCTAGGGAAACAATTGGTGTTCTTCTTCTCTGCTTCGCAGTGTTACATTGAACTTGGGAATGTCTGCAACCCCTGAGAAGGCACAGCGTACCTATGAACCTTCATGCATGGCCCTGATCCGTGGTCGATCTCTACCACTTCTCAACTTGTGAGGCTGTGTCCCCCACGCTCACTATAAGAGCCAAGGCCTTTGGAACTTTGGTTTGCTGGACTTGGGAGGGAATAGACGGTAGCTCCAAGGGATGAAACTCATGGTCTTCCAGGCACAGACTGAAAAATTCCTTTCTGGACTGCCACTTACTAGGAGTATTAGTGGAGTAGTCCCAATAAAAGAGTGTATATCCAGGCCATGCATGGGAAAGTTAGTCCCTGGACTAGAACTGACTCTAGAGTGGTAGTCCTATATAGAAGTCATGCATGAAGACATTTTGAACTAGAGTTCTCAGCTGCCTTGAGGATCTGGAATGCAGTAGGCCAAAAATCACACCCTTCTAGCCTGGGCATGGAAATTGTACTTTTTTGGCTGTGAAATTTGGAGCATAGACACCCCCAGAAGCATGTACATATAGGCTGAACATGGAAAATTATTTGGATTTGTGCTCCCAGCTGGTTCGAAGAGTGGTAGCCCAGAACATAAATGGTCCCCAGTCAGAAGAGAGAGGGGGCTGCTAAAACATGGTTAGCACATTTGTATCTCATTTAAAGCAAGTGGTTGCTATGAAGCCAATGAGTAGGAACACCATCCTAATACTTGCAGCCCTCTCCACATATTCCCCTGACACACACTGGCATCATTGTTACAGTTATAATAATAGCCGCTTTGCATTTATATTGTCCGCTCCCTAGTTCTTCATTATATTTCATATGCCCGGTAGGCCATTTGTTTCATAGTTTAGGTGAAACTGCTTTGAATAACTGGGTGAAAGGTTGTGTCCATGGCATCACTGATACTGGGAAGGGTGTTTGTGAGTGTCTAAGTTCTAGTTGCGTAGTCCTGAATTCTGGCTGTGTGGCACAGCTTATCCCCAAGTGTGTGGGAGATGCACTCTTCTATAGGGCAAATGCACTTTTGAACGCTCCCAGTGTTTGTCTGTTCTGTCCTGTGTTGTTAACCTCTCCATCTTAGAACAGAGCTCACCCGCATTGCCAATAAAAATATAACCTTCAGAGCAGCTGCCGCACACCCTTCTCCCTCCTCACCGTTTTCTTCTGAGCTGAGTAAAGCAGCCTCTGGGTGCGTCTGGGAAACAGGGTCTCAATTTACCCCTTCCTCACCCCCTCCGAGTGTTGTCCCCAGCAGTTTTTATTCTGTTTTTTACATTTTCATTCCGCCTTTCTTCTAAGCTAAGATTCAAGGCAGCCGAGAGACATCCCAAACACAAACAGTGAAAATGTTGCAATTCATCCAAATGAATTCTAAACTATAGAAAAGTATGGAAGTTCATTTGGAACATTTTAATCTTGTCTCATGCAACATATGGCATTGTAAGGATAAAACCTGGACAGATGGCTGAAATGAGATCCAAACAAAATAGCAATAGAAGAAGAGAACAAAAAAGTCAATTATCAAAGGTTCGGGCAATAGCTGTTTAAACAACACATAAAAGATGCATCAGGCCACTTCAACCTTTCTGGATGGGGAATTTTGCAAATGAGCCCATCAGTGAGAGGATGGGCTCATTTTTTCCTCTGTAACTTTTTCCTTCATTGTACTAGCTTTTTAACTGATTGTTTGTGGCAAATCCCACAGGTGATTTTAAGAAAGAATTTAAAAGACTTGAGTTGCATCCAATAATAATAATAATAATAATAATAATAATAATAATAATAATAATAATAATATACTTTATTTATATTCCACTCTATCACCCCAAGGGGACTCAGGGTGGATTACAGAACACATATGCGGCAAACATTCAGTGCTGTTATACAATTAACAGGACAGACAATACATAATACATATCCTTCCCCACTGCAGTGGTAACCACTCCTAGCCAGCTGGCTCTTGGATTGCTGACTGAGGATAATGAGAGGTGTAACCCACACATCTAAGGGCTTCCAGGTTGGGAAGTGTACTCACTTACCTGGGGGAAAGTCCTCATTAACTTTAGGCTTATTTCTAAGCATTAAAAGGTATTAAAAAATCCTGTAGCAACCTAGAGGCTAAGAAGAAGACATTCCTGAAACTTTGACTAAACAAAAGTCGTTTCTAGCTTTTCAACAGAAAGGAGGAAACCATGAGAACAAAATCTGGCTACCAGTATTTAAAAATTCTAAATTCAGGAGAGTAAATAAAGAACAAATAAAGAATAAAGAATTCCAGACAAGAAACAATGAGGGCCGGCTAATCAACTCCCAACAAAGGATTCCCCCAGGCAGGAAGCAGCCAAGCTTTGAAGCTGCAAGGTTATTCAGTGCTAGTGAAGGTGATCAATTGCAACATTCACACTTGCCTCAAACAGACAAGAGTTCTTTCTCCCACCCTGGACTTTCCACATTGTATGTTATTGTTTTTGGAGGGGCGGATTTCAAAGCTTTGGATAATCAGGGTTGGGGATCACAACTCCCAGCATCTTCTCTGTAGTGTCACAAGTCAGTCTCCTACCCTCTGCCTTCTCAGGAGTCTCTTTCAGACGTCTGTTTGGACTGTCAACATCTCCTTTGGTAATTTCTGACCTTGAGATTTCTGGAAATCAATCTTTTTTTTCATCAGAACTGGGAAAGTGGGGTTTATATATATGTCTGTGGAATAATGTCCAGGGTGGGAGAAAGAACTCTTGTCTATTGGAGGCAAGTGTGAATATTGCCACTGGCCACCTTAATTAGCTTTGAATAACCTTGTAGCTCCAAAGCCTGGCTTCTTCCTGCCTGGGGGAATCCTTTGCTGTGAGGTGTTAGTTGGCAGTGATTGTTTCCTGTCTGGAATTTCTTGGGTTTTGGTGTTGTTCTTTATTTACTGTCCTGATTCTAGAGTTTTTAAAATACTGGTAGTCAGATTTTGTTCATTTTCGTGGTTTCCTCCTTTTTGTTGAAATTGTCCACATGCTTGTCCAATGGCTTCTCTGTGTAGTCTGACATGGTGGTTGTA